TTCCCCATCTCTACTCGGCCGGGTTGCTGTGATCCCCACGTTGGATAGAAATCCTCTCGGTTGAGTCACGTGAACACCGATAACACCACGTGGGTGGCGCACCGATGCTGCAACAGTTGGACAAAAAACGTACTTTCCACCGGGTGCAGCATTGCGGACCAGCGTTCCAACCGCCCAGTTTTCCCCTCCTGGGTCAAGTTCTGGCACTGGACTGATAATGGATTTTTGCTAAGAGAAGCAAAGTTATAGTTCGACCGGCTGGCCCTCAAAGATCTAAACAGGCCCCTGAACGAACACATCGGGAACGCGCGGGTCCCGCTGACTGATTTAGAGGCACAAAACCATAGGATAGAATAGTTTTGAGGTTGCTTCTAGCATTGATTATGTGAGGAGAACTTGAGGAAGAAAGGCACCGCTGTCTTTTGTAGCCATACATCAAGATGACCGACTTTCAGTCGATCTGTTCGACAGTTGGTTTGTCTTCCATACAAGGAACTTGCCCCACCAGTGGTGGAGTTACGGGTTGAAACTCAGAGCTCCATCCGTCATTGTTCCGTTTCTCCCAATTTCATCGAAAGACACTCGGTAGAACCATCAAAAATATTCCTGTTTGGCCTGACTGAAGAAAACTTGGGTATGGTAGGATCGTTACAGACAGGGTAAACGAAAGAGCATCGGACAATAGTTTGGAAATTGAACGTCAGCGGGAGTTGCGGTTCTCACGAATAAAAATAAGCTGGCGATTAGACGGTGATCAGATGTAACTGGAGAACCAAAAGAGAAGACGTCGTAAGAAGACTGACGTTTCGTCATGGGTTCCATGTTTCACAAAAAAATGAGGTAGACCGCAACTGGAAACGAGTTACACACCACACAACTCGTATTTTCAAATTATGGACCTTGAACCATTCGAAGGCACGTTCATCACGGGCTTCAGTCAAAAATTCCACCGCGTTTTGTCAAGTACCCGTACTTCCTCACTAAAGTACATTTCCTAGCAAGACATCCGACACACTTTGCAGAAGACAGTAATGCCAAACTATATGTTTCTAGGAGCAGTGGCATGAACTATACTCAACTCTCCGGATACCTGGGATAGCATCGCAACTTAACCTCAGGCTGTCAAAGAACAGTTTTTTGATTTGTCCAATGGCACAACAACCGGCCTTTTTTTGCCGCACGTGACGAGGCATTCAGGTGTTTCTCTCTCTCCTCAACACCAGTATAGTTTGCAAATGAATGTACTTCTTCAAATTTGGTGTTCAAGTCGAGGATATCACCGGCAGAAACTGAGAGATTATACCTCCTTGATGAGCTCAAAAGTGGACATTCGATGAGCTTTCATGAAGCTCATGAGTGACGCGTTATTTCAAGATTCCAAATGGAACTAAGCCTTAATTGCGACAATTAGCTCAAGTATGTAACACAGATGAGTTGAACACTGTTCATTGGTGCAAGCATGTGACATAATCCCCTGCGGTAATACGATTTACTACATTTTTGTCTCAAAGCTTAACTTTTCACCAAATTTATTAGGTACTTCATCTGTGTGTTGGCATAAGTATACACATAAAAATGCCCTCCCCCCCTCCGCACGAAGCACTTTGTGACCTCTAGAGAAAGAGTTTGCGACCCCACTGAATTTGCGAATGCTGATTGACCAGTTATCAAGAAGTACGCACTTTGTGGGACTTAATTTGGATCCTCTAAGTTAGCTTTTGCTGCAATGTCTAGAAGCATTGCACCAATTTTATCCTCGTTTGAAAACATTAGTTGTGATTTTACTTGGAAATTCAAACTCGGTAACGAACAAGGCTGGTTTATTTTGCAGTTCATTGTTCGCCGTCCGGCTGGAATAATGGAACTTTAGCAAATTTCCGATGTGACCTGCATTATTCTTTTTTTAAGATCAACGTTTTCTCCGATTTGATTGAACCCTTAGCTACCGTAACCAAAGTTGCTGAGATGTCGATAGCCGTCTTTGTTACACAGCCTTAAATCTGTCTGTGTCTCTGAAACCTATCTAGTCTTGCTATGGTATTCAGCGTTTCTGAGACATCAAAACTCATTGGATGAGTCACGGTTTTGAGCACTGGCAGGTGAAATTCTCCGTCACAACATTGATTTCCAACGTTCTGACAACCACACCTCCGAATGGATGTAGACCTCGTGAGCATCTTTCGTCGCGGCGTGCACGAACAAGACAGAACACCAACAGACTGTATTTGCCGCGCTTGAGTATGCTGCGCCGTTTGACTGTCTGGAGAAGATTTTTATGAAAAAGCTTGGTCCTGGCTTGAATGTAACTCAAGCCTAGGGGTAAGACACTGATGAACTCTTGAGATTTTAAAAGACCTACAAAGCTTTCTGATAGAAGTGATTGCAACCTCCGTACGACACCAACAAAAATTGATCTGTTCTGAGTAAGAAACAACGATATTCGCGTGGGACTACGCTCTGTAATTGAAGCCAAGCGGTGCTGGAAAGCTTCGTCATGGGTTCCATGTTTCACAAAAAATGAGGTAGACCGCAACGGGAAATGAGTTACACACCACACAACTCGTATTTTTGAATTACGCACCTTAAACCATTCGAAAGCACGTTCATCACGGGTTTCAATCAAACATTCCACTGCGTTTTGTCAAGTATCCGAACTTTTTCACTAAAGTACATTTCCTAGCAAGACATCAGACACACTTCGTAGAAGACAGTAGTGCCAAACTATCTGTTTCTAGGAGCAGTGGTATGAACTATACTCAACTCTCCGGATACCTGGGATAGCATCGCAACTTAACCTCAGGCTGTCAAAGAACAGTTTTTTGATTTGTCCAATGGCACAACAACCGGCCTTTTTTTGCCGCACGTGACGAGGCATTCAGGTGTTTCTCTCTCTCCTCAACACCAGTATAGTTTGCAAATGAATGTACTTCTTCAAATTTGGTGTTCAAGTCGAGGATATCACCGGCAGAAACTGAGAGATTATGCCTCCTTGATGAGCTCAAAAGTGGACATTCGATGAGTTTTCATGAAGCTCATGAGTAACGCGTTATTTCAAGATTCCAAATGGAACTAAGCCTTAATTGCGACAATTAGCTCAAGTATGTAACACAGATGAGTTGAACACTGTTCATTGGTGCAAGCATGTGACATAATCCCCTGCGGTAATACGATTTACTACATTTTTGTCTCAAAGCTTAACTTTTCACCAAATTTATTAGGTACTTCATCTGTGTGTTGGCATAAGTATACACATAAAAATGCCCTCCCCCCCTCCGCACGAAGCACTTTGTGACCTCTAGAGAAAGAGTTTGCGACCCCACTGAATTTGCGAATGCTGATTGACCAGTTATCAAGAAGTACGCACTTTGTGGGACTTAATTTGGATCCTCTAAGTTAGCTTTTGCTGCAATGTCTAGAAGCATTGCACCAATTTTATCCTCGTTTGAAAACATTAGTTGTGATTTTACTTGGAAATTCAAACTCGGTAACGAACAAGGCTGGTTTATTTTGCAGTTCATTGTTCGCCGTCCGGCTGGAATAATGGAACTTTAGCAAATTTCCGATGTGACCTGCATTATTCTTTTTTTAAGATCAACGTTTTCTCCGATTTGATTGAACCCTTAGCTACCGTAACCAAAGTTGCTGAGATGTCGATAGCCGTCTTTGTTACACAGCCTTAAATCTGTCTGTGTCTCTGAAACCTATCTAGTCTTGCTATGGTATTCAGCGTTTCTGAGACATCAAAACTCATTGGATGAGTCACGGTTTTGAGCACTGGCAGGTGAAATTCTCCGTCACAACATTGATTTCCAAGGTTCTGACAACCACACCTCCGAATGGATGTAGACCTCGTGAGCATCTTTCGTCGCGGCGTGCACGAACAAGACAGAACACCAACAGACTGTATTTGCCGCGCTTGAGTATGCTGCGCCGTTTGACTGTCTGGAGAAGATTTTTATGAAAAAGCTTGGTCCTGGCTTGAATGTAACTCAAGCCTAGGGGTAAGACACTGATGAACTCTTGAGATTTTAAAAGACCTACAAAGCTTTCTGATAGAAGTGATTGCAACCTCCGTACGACACCAACAAAAATTGATCTGTTCTGAGTAAGAAACAACGATATTCGCGTGGGACTACGCTCTGTAATTGAAGCCAAGCGGTGCTGGAAAGCCGAGAAGCACTGTGCAGTTGTTTTTTCCCTATTGGGAATCACCGTGCGCGCGCACGTCACGAAACGTTGGCAGACAGTTTCGAACCCGCAACCTTCTCACCAGTAGGTCAGACACCTAAATCGTCCAGTGTTGGCTGATTTCCCTATTGGGAATCACCAGCAGTGCGCACGTCACGAAACGTTGGCAGACAGTTTCGAACCCGCAACCTTCTCACCAGTAGGTCAGACACCTAAATCGTCCAGTCAGGGTTGGCTGATCAGCAGCTTTCACTTAGCCATAATATAGCATCAGTCATGGTTGTACGTCAGTGAAGCATCGGTGTTGAACACTGATGTCATGCTGTCGATGATGATGATGATGATGACGATGATGATGATGATGATGAGCGTCAGTCACATTCAAATCAAGGAGATCACATCACGTGTTAATGTATCGACTGACTCCTGGAGTGAGGACTGATCAGACGGAAGTTTCAATGGTTTTGTCAAACTGCTCTTTCTCAGAGCTACTTACGTGTTTAATCGGATAAAATGACTCATCGGAGGGTGGCATTTTCGGACTGACACACTCGTTCTTTGCTGATTGGAGTAAATCTTTCTGTGAACAAGAGCTTCGTCACATTAAATGAAAGTTTACCGCAGCGTGTGACAAACACACGTTTTTTGTTGAGTAGACAGTGAATTAAACGCCAAAATAATTGAACCAAGCAGAGCATGCTGATTTAACTTATCGTAAATTGGGTTGTTGAAATCATTTGAGTACTATTCAGAGTTAAGGGGTGGTACTTAATACGGACAAAATGACACAACGGAGACCGCAAGCGAATCACCGACCTCTCGATTCCCAGTCCCGGGAAAGTATGATCTGTTCAGGCAGATTTCGTGACCTAATTTTGGATTTCGCTGAGATACCGATAGCACGACATCAGTGTTCAGCACCGATCCTTCGTTCTCGAACCACTGAAAATCATTTTGTGGCCTTAAGAACAGCCTGAAAAGAATAAAAATGGATCGGTAATCGACTGTGTGCTAGCCTGCCACAATCATTCCGAGTAGCCACCAGACACTCAGACAATCAAGGAAGAAGCTGACAACTAGAACGCCACTGATATTGACTAGTAGCCATGTCTTGCAGCGTTTCCGACCAGGCACAGAGGACCCCAGTCTGGAAGGTGAGCCATACAGACAGATCTAGAAGTTGGGTGATCATATCACTCTGCTAGGTCAAAAGTTGACAGACTTCCTTCGTAAACCGCTCGGAAATGGGCATGACAAACAGTGGTTCATAATGCGCAATACATGGCCTAATCTCCGCAGCTTTTGGCGCTGAACATTCTTCATCCGTCACTCAATCAGACGCCCGCCAGCTGTCTCATTCCGTATTTGCCGACACCTACCCATACGAGACAACGTTTGTCGGAAACCTGAATTCGTCTCAGTCCTGGGGCTCGAAGCGGGCACGCCTCATCAAAACGGCACGCACTCTAGCCTGGTACGCATGTCCCCTGAAATTCGCGGAGGAGCCAAAAAGACGTTTGCCTAAACTGCAATGGATTCTTTTTCGAAATCTGTGGGACCTAATGGAAATGAAGTCCTTTTTAACCGTATATGGGCCCCAATTATATGCGTTCCTGAAAAAAACGTGCACTGTCGTCTGTGAATCAGCGATGCATCTTTCAGCGGTGGAAATTCCAAACCGGTGACCACATGGCTGTGAGAAGACAACTCGCATAGTCCAAGTTGCAACCCTGGCGATGCTGTGTCATAAAGCAGGTCATCGATGGTCACTAACTATGGATCCTGACCTGAATTATCGCGTCTGAACCTACAACCAATCAAAAGTTGTCCAGCAGCTTTCAATAATGCATGGTGCTACCTGACTGGGAAGTCCTGACAGGCGAGCCACTCGATCGACGGTGACAAGACAGTTCGTCGTTCGAGAAATCGGGCAGACCAGTCGAATTCCTCAAGCATGAACACGTTCGCCAGTTCAAGCGCGATGGTTCGCATGTGTCCAGTTTGTACTGGTCGTAACACGCTCGTTTCGCACGTCAGAGACGCACGGGTTCAAAACCCGACAGGCCCAAGAATATCGATTGCATTCCAGCTCCAATAAGAGCGAGACTCGAGTCCGGTGCTTCCTCCTTTCAGTGTGGAGTCACGAGAATAATTGCTCCAGGACATACGGAGGGCTGTTCGGATAAGAGTGATGTGTTCACATGCGTAATTCATCAAGTTGATGTAATTCCCTTGTATTTGTTCACCCGACCTCCTAACGAAGTGGTGTATTGGTCTGCAGTTAAAGAACCTTAGAGATCTTAAATCGACTGTTCTACGGTTTGCTGGTTTGCAACTACAGAGTTTGAAAGATGTCCAATTCACAGCATACATCGGTTTGTACGTTCACTGTCACGTTGCCGTGTCCATGCACGATACAGGGCGTAGTTAACGACGGTCGACCATGTGCAATCCTGTCATTTCGATCGTCCGGCTTATCTAATCTGACAGCTACTCGAATTTTTTTCGCCGAACCACAAACTAAACTAAGCCGCAACCGTGTGGATCAAAGTCGTGAACTAATAACTCCCTTGCACGTTCTCTGAACGGCCTAGTCAGTTTTGTGTCACTGTCAGTACAATCTAAACAACTTGTGAAGTTCGTAAACACACGGATAAGGCTCGATCGAATCTCCAGTCTAGTTTGTGACTGATAAACACACACAATAGGAGTATTTACCGTCGGGAACCTTGGTACTCTCAATACTGATCCAGAGTTCGATATGTACTTCGGGATCGAACAAAGGTCAGAATATGCTGCTCATAGCATTTGCCATCCATGCTTTAGGTGCCGCGGTCTTCGTAAGACATCATACTGCCCTAGACATACATCATGCATCTTTATTTGAAGGAGTGTGTTACGTCTAGACAACAAAGTATTGTGATAACTTGAATATCGTATCAACTGAAACACGGGGCGGCCTGGTTAGCACGGTCATTTGAACGAGAAATTCAGCTGAATTCAGTTGAGTCTACTGTCAAACCCATATGTTTGTACAAATGAGAGTACTTGTCGAAATCTGATTGATTTGGATTCAAGTGGAACATAATTTTGACGGAAACTCAGTGACTGAGTCTACCAATTGAGCCCAAAGTGGAAGGGCCAAGCAAGTTATGGGCTGACAAAGAGTTTTCAGCAACCTTGTGAGTAATATGTTACGTCTACGTCTTATTAATAGCACCCTCCTATGTAGGCCAACTAAGTATAACAACAGTAAAAAGTGCTCGTTGCCAACTGCTGGCAGAACTACAAAACAGCCCCTCCGTACAACGAGCAAAACTCTCCCCCTTTACTGCACGATTTCCACAATGCTTAGGTTGATCAGAGAGAAGATTTTGTCCCACAATGATTAGGGAACCTTGTTTAAGATGTGTTACTGTAAGTGGACCAAAATCAACACTTGTTTCCAAAGTGTTAGTGTCTAGCATTTGCCAATCTTTCAAAAGAACCGGTAAAAAGGGAATGATACCACACGCACCCAGATTCTCCAAGTTTTCTAAATCCCTGATAGCTATTCATTCCATTCTCGTTTTCCCCTTGCCACCATCCGAAGGATATGCCGTTGCTTTGTGCTTCTTGAGGCCCCACGCCAAGCTCCAAGGTACTGTCCTGAGAAAGCGCAACTCAAAATCTGTTTGCATTATGGAAGATGGACTGCCTCCATTCAAGGGTACCTCCAAGAATAGCGCGAATTGGGGGGCATCTACTACCGCACAAACCAATAATACCGTCAAACTTTCGACTAAGGCGAATACATGCATTCGCCCATCACTTTGGTTTTGATGGGTGGTGAATCTGGAACCCAGCTGAGCCTCCTGTTTACGATGTTTATAAGTAACTGAATATGCTGCACCAGGCCGTCGCATGTTTCAGTTGGCACGATATTAGAGATATCACAATACACGTGTAGACGTAATATACTACTTGTAAGGTTTTTGAACAGTTGTCGAACAGTTTTCAGTAACCTTGTGAGTAGTCGAGTAAGACGTCCATTATCCAACTATTGGAGACAGGAACCAGCCAGCCCATGAAACTCGGGCGGTTCGCAAGTCTGTTAAGGCATGATTCGTACACGTCGCAAACCATGTTTTTGTTGCTTCAAAACACCACGTCACAGCAAGACCGCTTTTTGAAATGTGCAATTTTGAATACCCTTAAGGCGCTCTATCAGGGGAAATGACTGATGAAACGCTAAGGTGTGTAGTCCCAGAAAATCTTGACTTTGAACTGTGGACAGGTTCCAATGTGCTTCAGACATCCGTCTGATGAAATCATGTCTGACTGTGAAGAAATCTGGATTGAAGTACCCCGACCAGTCCGATGATGTAGTGCTTGATCAGGGGGGGGGCACTAATCCGTTCGCCGAGCTTGCCAACAAACGTTACCTCTCCAGTTGAGGAGACATCATCCGTACGTAGTTGAGTCTGTCCGAGGACAGCAAAGCGCACTCCATCTCAGAAAGTCTTTCCAACTAACTAAAAGTGTCGTATTTTGTACTTCGCGTGTTTGGCAACATGTAAGATTGTTCGACCAAGGGACCGAAGGTAAAGTTGTTATTAGAATGTCGCAAAAAGACTGTCGCTCAAAAAGAGAGCACTTTCAAGATGGACGTGGTTTATTCTGGTCCCCAAGGTGTGTGCCGTTTGGACGTAGGGAGCATCACGCTCGGAAGTGTCACTTGAAATCCGGTTGTGAATTTGATTCCTGTTTCAACTTCCACATTGTACCACGGTTGTTTAGCAAGAGACAACTCGTGAAGCGACAGAAATCAGACCGATGTCATCAAGCAATTTATTACGTGCACAGTGATTACCGGACCTCGTCATTTTTACCCGGAAATGACAATATATTCAGCCCATAGGTATTCTGTGCGATTCACCCTTACTGACACTCTAGAGTAGAGAGTATATTTTATATTCTGAGCGCTATATGACAGTGGGCCCCCACCCCATCATTAGTAACGATTAACCGACTGTTGACAGTCCTTCTTTGAGGGGCGAGATGTCTCAAGTCTCTCTTACTGACCGGAAGGTCCGTGGTTCGAACCCGACCTCTGCCTGTCGACTTCCCCTGTCTAGGTTTGGACAACTTGGCAGCCCTCGTGCTTCCTTCGGGTGGCATAGCAGCTGGACATCGAAAGGGTGTTACAGCTGCTTACAACTAACCTAAACTAAACTCACCTAAACTCACGTGAATATTTTGAGCCAGTCCCGCCATGGAAACCAGAGCAACCCTGAGTTGCTCTCATTTTCAGGTTCAGACGTTGTTCTTCTGACGGCTGTTCACTGTTCACACGAAAAACAGTTCTACTGATGCCACCATAACTTCCTGAATGATGAATCGTTGTTCGTCGGCGACTTCCAGTTTACTGAGAAGCGACATACGATATTGCGCCTGTAAGATAACGCAGGCTCATTGTTGCTGCAAGTATCTGTTAACTTGATTCATTCGACTCCACAGGTTGGCCTGTTCAAAGCGAACTGGTCTGCTGAGTGAGCATAATGAAACCTAAGGTAACCTGTTACACTTGTCAGAACTCAGCCCCATTCGGCGTACTTTCCCTCAGTCGCGGCGTCCTCTATGCAGAGGTTCTTGAGTTAAGAAGCCAACGATAGTTAGGGATCCTCTCCTTTCACCGTTCATTCGCCGTCGAGTAGGGTCTAATTTCGATGCGGGAAACAAATTTAAAATCCCTACCAGTTGAATGCCACTCAGATAACTTCTAACTGAGGACGAAAGAGCATGTGAAGTTGAAATTTCGAGAATCCAGTCTCTTTTCACTTGAACATCTCCCGTATACTGACCACGCTCTGTCCGCTCGAAAAATTTCTTCGATGAAAGAACTTAGAAAGATCCCTCAGCAGTGTGATACATACTCCTAACGCAGAAGCCATTCAGTGAGGAGAAACGGAGAAGCACTGACACTTAGCGCCT